TTTTGTGTCAAAATCATTGAAGGCTCCTTAGTAACAAATTTGCAAGGCTTGTGTATTACAGAGCATCACTGCTCAAGCCTGGATGAAATAACCCCAATTATTGGGTTATTTTAGGACATCCCATTAACTTTGAGGGCACAAATGAAACTCCATTAGTAAAATGGATTCAGCTGGCTGTGGAAGGATGATATTTTCAAGAGGTGTTCTGATAAAAGGATTTGTGCTTGTTCCTTTGGTGATTTAAAAACATTTACTCTGTGATCTTCTGTGATGTTTCACATTTCACTCCTAATTAACCCATAAAAGGATCTGAGGCCAATACAAGGCCTCAGGCTGCCCAGAGAAGCTGAGGCTGCCCCTGGATCCCTGGCAGTGCCCAAGGCCAGGTTGGATGGGCTTGGAGCAACCTGGGATAGTGGAAGGTGTCCCTGCCCATGGCAGGTTGGAATGAAATGAACTTTGAGGTGTCCTGTCACAGACATATTTTCCAAAAAATTTTTCATTAATATTTTTTCTCCTGAGAAGCCTCAGAGGAAAACAAAAACAATAATTATCTGCTGCTGTGGAATGCAACAGGTGCATCTTTGATTGGTCCATGTGAGTTGTTTCTACTTGATGACCAATCACAGTCCAGCTGTGTCAGAACTCAGAGCAGTCACGAGATTTTATTTTCATTCCATTTCTTTCCTTGCTAGCCTTCTGATGTCACCTTTCTCTTTCTTTAGTATAGTTTTAGTATATCATTTTCTTCTAACATAATATATATCATAAAATAATAAATCAGCCTTCTGAAACATGGCATCAAGATTCTCATCCCTTCCCTCATCCTGGGACCCCTGTGAGCACCATCACAGTCTCCTCCATCCCAAACTATTCCAGGATTCTGTGATCACAGCTGGTTTGAAATGGCAATAAAAAAAAAAATACACCTCAAACTCAGTCAGAGATATCAAAAATATTGGCAGACAAGATATGGTATAAGAGGAAAACTGATCACGTCATCACAGTGATGTACCCAAGTTAATCAGGCAATTAGTTTATTAATTAATTAATTAATTACCAGGAGCTGCATGCTTCCCTCATGCTTGAAGCCTGATCTACTCACAACCTCCCAGATTATCTCTGGAGACATTTCTACACAACACTGCACTTCTGAGGACAGACAACACTTGGAAGTGTTTAGAGCCAAGGAAGAACAGAGTCTCACTGCTCAGAACAGGCTCATCCTCCACGAACTGACTCACTCACTGTGTGAAATAAATCCTCTTCTGAGGAGGAAACCTGTGCTCCCTCAGGTCTGGGCCCTGCTTTGGATTCCTTCCTCATGCTGCTGGTGTGAAGTTTCCCTGGTTCCTCTGCTGCAATCAATCTTTTTTTGTCTGCTGATGCAGCTCCTGATGAATAATTGCCTGGGGATATAAATAGTGAGCCTGATTAGAGCCAGCGTTGGAATGCTGGCAGTGCCTTCAGGATGGCTCAGCTTCCCTTCAGCTCCAGCCTGTGCCTTCCTCAAACCATCTTCTGGGCAAACCCAAAGGGTTTGGGGTTTTCCTGCAGTGCTGGAGCCCAGCCTGGCAGGATTCCCTGGCCAGACACTCCTGGTGATCCCAGATGTGCCACATTAATAATTTTTGAGCCAGAAACCAAACCCTGAGCATTGTGACCATGTTGAACAACAGATCTGGAATGCTGGAATCTGAAATGCAGAGAATTCTCAGAACTTTGGAGCTGTAAGCCAAACTTAGAATTAAACCCAGGATTTGATCTGAGCCCTTGGAAAAAGCTTCAAAACTGAGGTGCTAGAAGGGAGAATGTGGATTCATAGTTTAAAGCAGACACACACTAAACTAAGTAAAGGAAGGCTTAGAGTTTTAGAGTTCAAATACAGTAAAAATAAATGTAGTTGCAAAGGTAACAAGAAGATTTTGTAGGTTTGTGTGCCATAACATGATTGGCTTACACTGTAGCATGGGCCCATAAGACTAAATATTTAAAGATTGGGTGAAAACCACAAATATCCTTGTTGGCAGTGTTTTATTGGTCAATAAATCCTTAAAAGGTCTCGTAACTAAGGGTCTTGTGACCCTCTGGGCCATGTGGTGAAGATGTGAGCCAAACTCACTCTTCCTGCCTATGTAGAAGATAAGGAAAATAAATCAGACCATCTAAAGAAACTCAAAATCCATGTGGCATTCACATTTTCTGGAAAATCCCTTCACCCAGGATTTTTCTCCTAGAAAGCTGGGAAGCCTCAGAGAAAAATGAAAACAATTCTTAAGTCTCATTTGCTTCTCCTGTATTTTGCTCCTTTGGAATGTGTTTGGAGATTGTTTACCCACAGGTGATTGTTTCATTGGATTCTGCTGTGAGTTTTTTTCACTCATTGGCCAATTGGGACCAAGCTGTGTCAGGACTCTGGAAAGAGAGCAATGAGTTTTTATTATTATCTTTTTAGCATTCTGTAAGTATCCTTTCTGTATTCTTTAGTATAATATAGTATAGTATTAGTATACTATATATATATATAGTATTCTTTAATATAATATAGTATTACAAAATAATAAATTAGCCACTGAGAATATGGAGTCAGATTCATCATTCCTCCCTGCCATGGGGCACCCCAGAAATACAATAGTCCCATCTTGAATTCTCTCAAAATTCCTCACACTGAAAGTCACTCAGGGATATTCAAATTATTTTGTTACACAGAATTCATTAAAACACACGCAGAGGACGTGGCTGAAAGCTGCCTCAAGTTCTCCATACCATATCTATGCAAATGTTATCACTGCCATGAGATAAATGTGAAAGGGGTTCACAGGTACAGAGCATGGAAAGGTTTTATGGCTTAGCCTCTGTAAATATTCTTCAGGTTGCCTTTATAATGTGACTGTTAATAGAACACTGAGTAGGCAAATAAAGGATTTTTTTTAAATCCTTCTAATGAAAATTATGGATTTTTAAAGTGATCTGGCTTTATTTTCTCCAGTTTTTAAACACTGGAAAGATATTCTCTTGAAAGGAGAAGTCTTGGTAAGCTTTGGAGATGAAAAGAATATAAGGTGTTAAACACGTAGGACATGTAGGACAGTTTCTAATTTTTATTTATGTACGAAAATCAAAGCAGCATTGACTCTCACACCGATGACCTTTCCTTGCAGGAGCCCACAGATCACTGTTCCCATTTCCAACTCCAAACAGAATTCAGTCCAAGCAGATAACTTCAGCTCAGGTTGTTATTGTTTGTATAACCATTGCACTTCAAAGGTTTTACAGCTTGAACAAATAACCCAAAAATCGAACCAAACTGGAGGGAAAACAGAAGGGTCAGCCTCTGAAAGAGCTGAAGAACTGCACCAGCTTTGAACTCAGGGTTTTGCTTCTCAGGTTGTCTCTGAAACTCCCAACAGCACAAAGCCTGGGAACATTCCAGCATCAGGATTTCCATTAATTCTGTGATTTAATGCCTGGAGTGAGCTGGTACCTGAGCAAAGCCAGGGCACCTCTGGGGACACCTCACCAGCCCTGGCTGAGCTCTCCTGGATCAGAGCACTGCCCAGGGGAAAGGAGCCAGGGCAGGTCCCACGTGTGCTTTCTGCTGACCTAATCACAGCTGGATACAACAAAACCCTGAATCCCAGTGAAATCCATCCCCCAGACATTTGCACTCTGGGCTTCCACACCTGAAATTGTCAGCCCTGAGCTCTGCTGCTGCTGAAGGACAGAAGTAAGGTACTTTTTAAGGGGGTTTATCTGACTTCTTTCAGATGTTTTCATCAGGATTATCTCCATCTTTCCATGGCTGGAAGTCATCAAACTCCCAACGATTGTTAAAAACCAGAGGAGCCAAATGAACACCTGTAACATGGAGCTCAAAACCACAACCACCATTTGAAAGAACTCTTTTGACACAGCCACCCACATTTTGCCACCCTGTAAAGCACAGATGTGCTGCAGATCTTGCAGATCCCTGTTTGCCACGGTCTCAGGGCTGCGAGGAGAATCTCAAATAATGTTGTCTTTTGCCTGCGGTTAAGCAAACAAATCCCACCCAGAAGCCCAACAAAGAGGTTGTATAAAGGAGCAGTTTTATGTGGAGAAGGACTGATGGCTCCAGTAAAGTTGGAAGATTATCTGAAGATGCAAACTGGGGTGCACTCTGATAACACTTCACTATTTACAGGCTGGCTTTTGACAGGGAGTGTGTTTGCTTTTGGGGCCACAGCTGAAGAAACATATGTAAATACTGGTTTTTATAGCAGGGCTCTTTTGCTGTCCAGGAATAGAGCAAACCTTGAGCAGCATGAAAGGCACTGGTGGCACATTGGGCAGCGCTGGGTTTTGTTATCTTCATCACCTCAAAAGACCTCCACCATGGTTAATTTCCCTGGAAACCAATGTGGGTGGCACTGAGACTGTCTGGCAATGAAACTCATCCTGCTTATTCTTAATGTCGTGTTTGGCTCTTGGTTCAAATGGTTGCTCTAACACACAATCCTAATTATGTGCTCTGGAATAGTTTTGACCCAGTTCAGGAAAGCCCTGAATAAGTCCCCAAAGAGGAAATAGTTTTAACAGACATTTGGCTTTCAGCACTAGTTATAACTTCCCCAACTTAACAGGATTTGAGTAAACTGAAATTTAGACACTATAACCTCCCAACTTCAATAGATTTGAGTAAACTGCAATTTAGATACTATAACTTCCCCAACTTAACAGGATTTGAGTAAACTGAAATTTGGACACTATAACCATCACCAACTTCAACATGATTTGAGTAAACTGAAATTTGAACAGTACACCATCCCCAACTTCAATAGATTTGAGTAAACTGAAATCTAGACCAAGTCTATAATGATTTTTCCCTTGATTGTGGATAATTTCTGAAAGTGAAGCCTTAGTTAATTATAATGCAGCCCTCAATGCAGAGATTCCTTGTTATCTTGGCATTGTTTAAAATCATTATGATTATTTTCTCACTTGTAAATACACTGAAAGACTGAATTTCATCTTGGACTTTATTACAGGCTTATATTTTTTAGTCATCCTTGATATTCACAGTAACAAAAAGCCTTGGATCAACCTGAGCATGGATACATGGTAAAAGCAGAACATCTCCAGTTTTACCAATTGCATCTGCGTGTCTGGTGCTGTGTCCTGTGGTCTCCCCCCTTTTTGCTGGAAAACTTTGATGGGAAGTGTGGAGCTTTGGTGCAGTGAGACTCCAGGGCCACATCATCGATCAGATATGCCTGGAACACACAAATAAACAAATGAAAATTGGTGAAGCTGCAGTAAAAGGAGATGGGGATGACTCACTGCAGAGCGAGTCCAGCCCACTCACCTCCCCAGACAGAGTGAGATGTGGCAGAGCTGCCTAAATTCCCCCTTTAGAGAATTAATCCCATTAAAGAGGGGACAGACACTGGAAGTTTTCAAGCCCAGCTGCTCTTAGCAATGTTTTACACTGAAAACACCTCCATCACCCCCATTTTCTTCTGGGAATCCTGCTGTGAATGCCTGAATGTGACAGGACCTTAGTGGTCTCATGCTTTAAAAGTAATTGATATTACTGCCTGTGGCATTCATATCCTCTGAAAAAATCCCTTTGCCCAGGATTTTTTCTCCTGGGAAGCTGAGAAGCCTCAGAGAAAAGGAAAACAATTCTTATCTCATTTGCTTCTCCTCTGTTTTGCTTTTCTGGAATGTGTTTGGAGATTGTTTACCCACAGGTGATTGTTTCATTGGATTCTGCCGTGAATTATTTTGACTCATTGGCCAATCATGGCCAAGCTGTGTCAAGACTCTGGAAAGAGTCAGTTTTCATTATTATCTTTTTAATCTTCTGTGAGTATCCTTTCTGTATTCTTTAGTATAGTTTAGTTTAGTATATAATAGTATTATATATATATAGTTTAGTATATATTAGTATTTAATATAATATAGTATCATAAAATAATAAATTAGCCTTCTGAGAACATGGAGTCAGATTCCTCATTCCTTCCTGCCACGGGACACCCTGCAAATACAATAACTGCTTCCAAAAAACTGCCTGCCTGACAGCAAAAACACCCTAAGCCCATTGCCCTCAGTGTTGGCATTGGGATAATTTTTGTCACTCTTGCACCGAGAATGACACAGGAACAGGGGAGAGGCAGGACTGCAGAAAGAGCAAAAGAAGATTTATTCAAGAGAACGGCGCGGTTTTTATAGAGTGATAGGATAGATTCTATTTGATTGGCTGGTTAACAAAAACACCTTCCTCACACACCATCCTTGAGAAGAACAGAAAGATGAAGTACAAAAACACTACCTGCAGATTTTTATACTTAACAAGCTATCACATCCTCACAACTCCTTAAAATTTCTCATAAGCCGCTGTGAGAAACACTTGGCCTTTCTCTCTCTCTCTGTGTCCCATGGCATCCACAATTTCCCCTGTGCCAGCTGCACACAGCCCAGCTCTCAGCCTATCTCTGACTGGAGATAAACCCCGTGCCCAGGTGCCACTCCCTCCCTGCGTGGAGCTGTGGAGCAGGAGTGGTTGCTCTTTGCCATCCCCAGCCAAAGTTCTTGTTTGCTGACCCAAAAGCGGCGCAAACGTGAAAAGCTGCCCTGTTCCGAGGGGACTGGGAGCCAGGGGAGAAGATGCTGTAAAAACACAGAGGGCTGAGCTTAAATAGAGAGATAAGGGAGGAGATTGATGTTACAAATGCCAAGGGTCATGTTTTCTGTTAAAACAAATAAAGCTCCGCTGAGCACCGGTGAACTTGGCTGGGGCTGTGCCAAGCCTTTGATACGAGAGTGAGGAGCGAGTTCAAGGCAGCACCTTGGAGGTAAAATCCAGTCCCAAGCTCTTGTGCCCTTCAGAAAGGTCACTCACCTCTCTGTGAAATCCCTTTCAGAGGCACAAGGTAACACAGGAGGCACCAGCACGTCAGGAAAGCTCAATAAATTCAGTTATCTTCCCTAAAAGCCTAATGCTTTGCTTCCCTCAGTTATTGCCTGTGTTATGGCATCTCCTTGGATAATGTTTAGCTCTCCTTGGGAAGTGTGTGTTTATATGCCTGATTTTTTTTTTTTTCTAGATGACTACAGCAGCATCCACAGTTTAAAAATCTTTTTTTTTCCTTGAAAAATCCAGTGCCAAACTTCCTGGAGAGGCTCACAACTCACAGGTATCAGGGTAATGCCACACAGTTCAGCTCATTCACTCATCCACCTCTGAAACAGAAAAAGAGAAAAGGACTTTTTGGGATATTTTTCATTGCCATTTGCACTGTCAGAAATTGAAGGGAAGCATGGAAAATCAGTCGTTGTCAATGCTGTTAAATCTAACACGATTTAGTCTGGATTAGGAGAGGGTTTCCCTGCTTTGTACAGTCAGTCTGGCAAATTGTGGGCATGAAACTATCTTTTCCTTACAAAGAAAGAAGAGCTGTCAGGGAAAGGGGAAAAATTTAAAATAAAAACCGCATCAAAATTATCTGGAAAATTACATTATTACATTTATGTGCAACAAATTCTTCCCAGACAGCATTAATTCAGGAGAATGTGCTGTCATTTCTTATTCCCCCCAAGAAACAGAGTTTTATTTTTCATGTGTGTTGAAAGGATTTAGAACATAACACTTCCCTCCATTAGTGGATGTAATGTTTTGCTGACATATAGTGAGGATGCTTAATTTGCTTGCACAAATCTGTCCTGGAGGCAGCAGAAATGTAAGGAATGCATCAGGCAGGGGAATCAAATGAGCAGCACAAACGCTGGGATATTCATCAGTTCAAGCAAGAGAAATGAACTGCAGCAGCCAGAAAAGCTTGCTTTAAATCTGATTCATAACAAGGAGGGCTGGAGGAAGAACTCCCAGCCCTCTAATTCCTGCTTGGGTTCTTTCTTTCTCAGAGATTATGGCTGAGTGAAAAGGGAAAAGCAGGGCTGCAAGGAGGATTTTGAAGAGCAGGTTTGAGCTGGAAACAAGGGATATCCCAGCTAAACAAGCAGGAGGAAAATCAATAATCTTACCAGGAGTGTTCCCTGACTGCCAAAAGCGCAAGCAGGCAGAGGCAGGAATTGATTCTTTGCAGGGACATTGGTTTGTTTGGGGTGTGGGAGAATGAGCTCACAGGGGAGCCCTCAACCAGGCAGATTCCTTCCCTCTAACCACACACAGAGCCCTGACTTCATCTTTATCCTGTGGAAACAACCAAATTCCAGATGATACACAACCAGCAAATTTCAGGCTTCAGGTGTTTTCTTACCAAGCTGCAAAAAAATCCCTCAGTTCGAGGGGAAGAAAGGGTTTGAGGGGAAAGGGGGTTTTACTCCCTTCCCCCCCTTCTCCATCACCATGTTTGAGCCCTAGCCTTGTGATTTTTGTGTTTGTTTTTTTTCTTTCCTGACTGATGCCTGCAGAAAAAATCCGGCACAGTCCAGGCATGGGGCAGGGCTTCCCCCTTCTCTGCTACCATGTTTGAGCCCTGGCCTTGTGATTTTTGTGCTTTTTTCCTTACTGATGCCTGCAGGAACAATCTGGCACGGTCCAGGCATGGTGCAAGACTGCCCAGCCCTGTGTGAGAGCAACTGGCTTGGACAGAGCTGAACAGACCAAGGCTGCTGAGATGAAAAATCCCCTTCTCTGCAGGCAAGAAAGGAAAGGAGCCTGAGCTTGCTGCTCATTTCAGAAGAGGAGTGGAAAATAAAGGAGAACAACTTACTCTTGTGACTGATGAATCCCAAAGAGTGTCCCGGTGGATGTCCAGTGCTTTGGATCTCAGCTGCACCTTTCATTTGGGTTAAAAAAGAGGAAGTGGCAACTCAGCCCAGCAGGTGTGGAAAACAGGATCGTGCTCCACAGTGTGGCCAAAAATGCTTTGCTGAGCATTTTCTCTGTTATTCCACCTTCTTCCCAGCATCTGTCCCCACACAGATCAGAGCCTCTGTCCCCATTGCACCCCTCAGGACTCCAGCAGCCCCAGGGCACAAACCATGGATCAGGCAGATCCTCATTAACAGCATGAATTCAATGCACATGCTGATTTCTGAAATGTGGGATTTCCTCTTTAACCTTTCCTGAAGTGAATGTGGAGTTCAGCCTTCTCAAAAATGGTTTCAGTAAATCACATCAGTCTCAGAGGTTCTGGAGGCTTTGAAGTCAAAGATGGATAAGAGACAGGATCTTGAAGAGCAATAAATTTACAGAATCTTGGAATTTTTAGCTTGCCAAAGACCTCTAAGATTAGGTTCAACCATTAACCCAGCACCACAAAGTCCACCAACAAACCATGTCCCTGAGTGCCACCAGCAAGTCCAAGCACACACCTTGGGAAGAGCCCTGAATTTTTTATTCATTTTTTATTGCACTTGTCAGTTTATACCAAGCCTCACGACATTTATCACAAAAATTAGTGATATTCTAGAAATTCCTCTTTCCTGCTGCTAAGCAATTAAAAACAATTCATTGTTTTAACAACAGAGATTCTCATCACCCAGCCAGAAGAAAATGGGGCTTGTTCTGTGGGCACCAGCAGCCAATCCTCTCCGTGCAGAGCAGCTCCGTGATGCATTTGGCCAGGCTGTGTAAAATGTTCCATTTCCTGCCTCCCCCACAAAAGCATCAGCTGTGTCACATCCTCTAATGATAAGGTGCAGGCTTTATCTCCCCCTCTAGAGCGTGTTTTAGCCCAAGCTTTTATTTAGCTCCTGTAATCTCTGGTGTCAATCACCGTGTTGGTTTCCCTGCTTCTTGTGCCTTCTCCTGCTGCCAAACCACTCTCAGTGAGTGTTTGAGGAGATAAAAATCTCTCAGTAGTCAGGGTAAAATGTTTCTGCACGGTGGCCACGACATGGGACAGAACCTGCCTCTGCTGGGCACTGTGATTTTAAGAAATGTGGTTGTAGCCATGCTGAGTGTGAAAAATGCGTGTATTTTATGATTGGTTTTTCGCAAATATTCAAATGAATATTATATGTGTTGTGTTAGAAAGTAATGCTGTATTAACTCCATGAAGTACTGTGTTAAATATAGTTTTAGGTTATAAAAATTGTTAAAATAGAAACGATGCTATGTAGGATACTTTTTTTAAAGAAAGGATTTGCAGCGAGATAGCAGCCACAGGACACCTGAATCTTTCAGAGAAAGAGAATTTATTGCTCCATTATCAGAAAAAATTAACTTCTTCCTGCCTCAAAGGTGCTGCCAGGATTCAGAGGAAGAAGTTGACTCTGACCAGAGAGATTCCTGTATTTCAATGGAATTTATGCATCATGTATGAGGTGTATGAATATACAAGAGGCTATTGCTTTTAAGAGTTAATCCTTTGTTAACCTGTGTCCTTTTTTGGGCTCATGCTGCTCAGAAAAAGGTACTTAGACATCCATAACTCTTTGTATTTGTTGTCTCATATTGTCCTAATTCAAATTGTCCAAATTATTATTAATCTAACTGTATGACTATTTTTATAACAATTTTATTACTATTAAAATTTTAAAAAGCAAGTGATTGGCATTTTTCACACCGACAACTGTGCTGGGCACCTTTGTGCCCTCACAACCTCCTGTTCCCCTGCTCTGTCCTCCTTGGCTGTGCAGAGCCCCAAGGAGAAAGGAGGGAGAGGTGCCCTGTTCCCCGGAGCCCGGGGCACGTGGTGTGCCCTGGAGCAGCTCTGCAATGTTCCCACTGTAAACAGCTCTGCTTTCATAACGCATGGTTTGCTACTCACCTGAGTTCATTCCATCCCTGCCATCCCCGGCCTGCAGAAAGTTCTTGCTTGTTAGTTTGTTTGCACAGTTTTTTTTAAATTTGGTATGTTCTTCCTGAGCTCTCTCTTTTTTTTTTTCCTCCCTTTCTGCCCAAACGCAAGATTATTATTATTTTTAATTATTTTTTAGAAAAATGTTTTATCCGAGCATTTTTTGAGTTGGATAGCTCCCTGTGGATATGTAATCGTAATTGCAAAGATTATTTTTTCTCTGCTCCCAGTGGCTTTGATTGTGTGAAAATAAATGTTGAGTACTATGAAGCAATTAATCCTCAGCTCTCCTGGGAGTTGGGTAGGTAATTATTGCTATCTTTAGCTTACACAGTGAGGTGAGCATCAGCAACTGGATAATTTGCCCTTGCCCCAGAGATCAAGGAGGAGATTTTAACCTGCTTGGATCAGGTAGGTCCTTTAAATTGAAATATCCCACTCCTGCTATTCAGATATTTCATGAAATATCCACCTCTGCTGCCCTCACAGCTTTAATCATCAAACAGGTGGAGATTTCCAGAACTTCATGGGAAAACTTTTGGGGACAGAAAGAGAAGAAAGTCTGAGCTTTCAGCCCTGCTGGGTTGTGGTCAGCTCACTTCAGATTTTCCCTAGGGCCACTCTGGTGTTTCCACCTCACACAGAATGAGGAGCTTTAAACCACAGGAAAGCACAATTGTTTGTGCTTCATTTCGCAAATAATGAAGTCCTGTAGGTGGATGGAATGGTGCTGTTTGCAAAACACCACAGCCAGTGTTTGCCTGCCTCTGATCCCCAGTGCAAATAATGCACAGGAATTCATTTTGCAGCTTGTTTAGGGGATGTGATGCTGTTACTGTATTCACATAAAGTCACCCAGTGGAAAGCAGAACAGATGCATTGTGTTGGCTTTGGAGAGGAAGCTAAATGGGGAACAAGGGCACAGAACAGCAAATCCAGCCTGCAGCAAACTGCTGCATGAATCAGCCCTCAAATATTGTCCTTCCAGCCACCACTGCTGTTAGTCTTTGCATTTCTGATTGCCAGAGGCACAGGGGGAAAAAACAAACATGGGCAGGAAACAATGTGGTTGCTTTTATTTACCTCTGCCATTAGTGTCCACCAAACATTTCTTATTTGTAGGACATTTCCCCAAGCAGCCCTGGGAGAGATAAGCCATTTTGTGAAGGATGCCACATCAGAAATGTTAATTACCTTCGAGGGAGAGAGTTAAATAATGGTAATGGAGAAAAGCAGACCCAGGGAAGATGCACCAGCCCAAGACAGTGATCACTGTGCTGCTGCTGATGGGAAGAGGAATTAGATCAAGGCTTTCTCAAATTGTTCACAGCTGAGATTAGGGGGAAAAAAAAATCACTTTCTAGGTTGCAATATCACCTTATTAGCTGAGAGGCTGTTCAGCACCAAGCAGCTGCCACCTTCCAGCCCTGAGGGTCAGGAAAGAATTTTGGAGGGAGGTGTTGGATGGAATCCCAGTGAGGTGAGCACCAAGCAGAGAGGAAATGGAAGCTGAGCTGCTTCGGAGGCATGCTTTGGGGGAAATGCATCTTGGAATGGTGATACCTGAGTAATTTGTGGAAATACATCTCGGAATGGTAATACCTGAGTAATTTGTGGAAATATATCTTGGTATGGTAATACCCGAGTAATTTGTGGAAATACATCTTGGAGTGGAAATACATCTTGGAATGGTAATACCTGAGTAATTTG